TAAGCTGGGAGAGGCTCTTTCCCTGGGGATTTTGGGAATCCTCTCGTTACCTTATCAATGAAAAAAGCAAGTTCATTTTATTTGACTTCAGAAAAAAGCATCATCAGGCTGGCCTGGGAATAACGCATGCGGAATTGAAGACGGTAGTATACTAGTAATTAAGTTCACAAAAGGCCCATTCTTATGGCCATATTTCAGATACTCATAATGCCTTCTCATCCATTCTACCAAGTGACTCCATAATATATTCAGAGTGGAGAAAAATACAGTGGATTCCTCTGAGATATTCAATTAGTTCAGTAAAAAGAAAAAAATAATTTTTCAATAAAGAAATTCAACCAGCCGAAACCGGTTTGGCTCAGTGGATAGAGCATCGGCCTGCGGACTGAAGGGTCCCAGGTTCGATTCCGGTCAAGGGCATGTACCTGGGTTGCGGGCACATCCCCAGTAGGGAGTGTGCAGGAGGCGGCTGATCGATGTTTCTCTCTCATCGATGTTTCTAACTCTCTATCTCTCTCTCTTCCTCTCTGTGAAAAATCAATAAAATATAGTAAAAAGAAAAAAAGAAATTCAACCAAATGACTAAAGCTGACACTGGGCAACCAAGTTCAAAGTCATGATGCATTTCCTTTGAGTTCTTGCTCTAACAAAAGTTGATGATATGCCGCCATTTGAAATAGCCATCCTTCTGATAATTAATTACATTTGTGTTCCTATCTTAGAGACACTTATTTGCCTGTTTGCTCTGGAAATGTCTTCGGGTGTTGATATATGTAAGGTTCCACCAGCCCCACTAAACAGTATCTGTTCTCGCTCCTTCACAGCGAGCTTCCTTCGAGCTGGTTTCTTCCCCACTAATGGAAACCTCTCCCCAAAAGTCACCAGCAACGTGCTCCTTGCAAGATCCCATTGCTTCTCTTTACTCCTTATCCTTTTCGGCATCATAACCCATTGCCTCATCTTCCAGTTCATCTCCCCCGTCTCCTGCAAATTATCATCTGCTCTTTGAACTTGAGGCGTTTCGTCTACACCCCTCCCTCATTCTGCACTTTCACATAATTTGCTAGAAAGGTTTCAAAAGTATCTGTGTTGACAATGCCCCCGTTGCCAACCCAGCCCTGGCGTTTCTCCTAAGCTCTGTGCACCTGTACATGGTTACACTGAATACAGGGTTTATTCGCACCATCAAATCTGAACTGTCTTTCACTCACCACCCACTACCTTCCGCTCTTCTTCTGGCGCCTCACCTGGGAGCCCGGCCACCAAGAAGAGACATTTCTTTCCTGCTCAAACCACCCACGTCATGACGCAATCCATTGCTGGGCTCCAGTGTCCAACATCTCCTGTCAGGGCCACTGTGCGTTTCTAAAAATAAGTCAGTCAGATTGTTTCGCTGCCTTTCTGAAGACCCTCCAGTGGAATTATCATGACAGTCAAGGCCCCATGTCCTACGGGACATCTCCAGCCTCATCCCCCTGCCATGCTCACGGACAGCAGGGGACAGCCATGATGTCTGACGACCTTGCCTGTATCCACACAGGCCGGGAGCGAAGGTTGAGCCGCAGCCAATTTGAGTGTCAGCAGAACACCTCGTGATCGTCCCAGAACCGTGGGCACGGGAGGCCTGTGAGGAGCTGCTCTGGTCCACTTCTCACTTGCCTCCTGAAGTCCCCTGGGAGGCTGTCACAAGACAGTTTCTCATCATCTTCCGGGTTCTGATGAGGGGTGAGGCTTCCGGCCCACCCCTCTTGGAGTGCAGCTGCAGACAGTAAAACCACTGAGAGGCAGCTTGCAATCGGCTCCTCAGCACCAGGGCCTCCCTTCATCTGTGATGCAGCCAGCTGCCCCCTGGGGTTTGGGTGTCACCTGCCCAGGGGCCGTCTTTGCCTACTCATCCTCTGACTGTCCTTGTAAGTCATACGCTGCCTGAATCTAAAAAGGACTCATTGTTTCTTTACCAACAGAACCTGTCAGACCCGGCCTGGCCTTGCGCTGGACACCCATGCTCTGAGCTCAGATATTCACTACCTTCCACCCCATGTGACCCAGAACTTGACTCAAAACCGAATGTGCCCTTCAAGAAAAAAGAAAAACACAGAAGGAGAGAAAATAAAATTAAGCTTGTAGATCTGGTTCAGTACAAATGAGGATAGGAAAAATAGAATGGGGCCAGACATTAGGTCAGTACTGGTGCATAAAATTAGAGCATAGTCATTTCAGACGCACAGCAAATCCTTCTGGAATAAGGCAAATCCATACACTTACTACCTAAAGTTAGAGTAAATTTGGCTCTAACTTTCCTCACAGAAAATGTGGACTATTAATGGGTGTTTTGTCCCAAGAGCCAGTCTCTAATTCATAAATGATTAAAAATGAATTTAAAGAAAGGTAAATGAAATCATGCTGAGTCATACCAAGATTAAACAGCCTTTTCTTTAGGTGAGTTTATAAGGGCTTTTCCTTTTCTTTTTTTTTAAATATATTTTTATTGATTTCAGAGAGGAAGGGGGGGGAGAGAGAAACATCAATGATGAGAGAGAATCATTAACTGGCTGCCTCCTGCACGCCCCCTACTGGGGATTGAGCCCGCAATCTGGGCATGTGCCCTTGATCAGAATCGAACCCAGGACCCTTCAGTTCACAGGTCAACGTTCTACCCACTGAGCCAAACCGGCTTGGGCTATGAGGACTTCTTAAAATAATGTTTCCTAAAGTGAAAATCATATAGTAGCTAAAATTTTTAAAATGAAATTTTATGTATAAGACCCAAAGATTATGCTATAGCCAGCCTGTGGTTTTGTTTTTTATAACTAACCCATCTTCTCAGACTGTCCTGTGCTGCCCGGCCAGCCCAGCCAGCCCCCATGGCGCCATCACCCTGACCAGCCCCCATGGCACCATCACCCTGACTAGCCCCCATGGCACCATCACCCTGACCAGCCCCCATGGCACCATCACCCTGACTAGCCCCCATGGCACCATCACCCTGACTAGCCCCCATGGCACCATCACCCTGACTAGCCCCCATGGCACCATCACCCTGACTAGCCCCCATGGCACCATCACCCTGACTAGCCCCCATGGCACCATCACCCTGACTAGCCCCCATGGCACCATCACCCTGACCAGCCCCCGTGGCACCATCACCTCGGCCAGTCCCTGTGGCACCATTAGCCAGGCCAGCCCCTTTTGTTTTTCTTTCAGACCATTTTTTTCTTACAAAAGAAAATCCTGGAAGGGCTACCTCTTCAACCAACTACCCACTCGGTGTAGAGCTGTTCCCCATAAAGCATGGCCTTCTCTCCTGGAATCTCTATCTTCCTGTACCACCAACATACGGGAACACTTGGGTATTTAGATAAAAGGTTGAATTTTTTTAAAATATATTTTTACTGACTTCAGAGATGAAGGGAGAGGAAGAGAGAGGTAGAAACATCAAGGATGGAGAGAATCATTGATCAGCTGCCTCCTGTATACCCCACACTGGGGATTGAGCCTGCAACCCAGGCATGTGCCCTGACTAGGAATTGAACTGTGACTTCCTGGTTCATGGGCCGATGTTCAACCACTGAGCTACACCGGCCAGGCAAAAGGTTGAATTTGGAGCAAGGAAAAGTTCCTCTGTTATCTCCATCATCAGAGTGACTTTCAGTGTGTTAGAATGACTTGTGTGTTAGAAGCTCAGCGTTCTAAAGATGAAGCCTGAAAAACTTAAATCAAGAGTTGTACATATGATGACAGGCTTGGAAACCACTAAGCTTTATACACATGTGTACGCTATTACTTTAGTCCTGTGTGAACCCCTTTAATCATCAATGTGTCTGACTGTGGGGAAGGGCTGTGCAGCGCTCCTCTTCGTGTTAGCAGGTGTGCACTCACATCGCCCCTCTTCCCTAGGCGACCCGCCTGCCACCGGCACTGGGACTTTGCTGATCACCCTGGAGGACGTGAACGACAACGCTCCCTTCATCTACCCCACAGCGGCCGAAGTCTGCGATGATGCCAAAAACCTCAGTGTAGTCATCTTGGGAGCATCAGACAAGGATCTGCACCCAAATACAGATCCTTTCAAATTTGAAATCTATAAGCAAGCTGTTCCTGATAAAGTCTGGAAGGTCTCCAAGATCAACAGTAAGTCAGCCCGACATCCCACACGTATCCTTGTGGCTTTAGACTAGTGGCTCTGGCTTGGTTTCCTTCCCCAAACTGCTCCCCCTCTCCTACTCTCTTGTGTGTTCTCAAATGGTTTATTTCAAGTTATTTATGCACTATAAATATTGACAATTTTCCCACCAGAAAATGAATCCAATATGTAAATATATTAAATATCAGTTCCTTATAATGCAAACATGAAAGTCTTCTCCATTGCTTCCTCTCTTATCTTTTTTATACTGGACACAGCATAATCTCTGCCCTGTATGGACTGTACACTCTATGGTGTGTATAGTATTTGCTGTGTACTCTACACCCTACACTGTATACTCTGTATACAGCACACCCTGTACTATACACCTTACTGTACACTGTATGCTAGCCACCCTGTCTTGTACACTCTGTACTATACACTATACTGCATACCCTACACCAGTGGTTGGCAAACTCATTAGTCAACAGAGCCAAATATCAATAGTACAACAATTGAAATTTCTTTTGAGAGCCAAATTTTTTAAATTTAAACTATATAGGTAGGTACATTGTTATTAACTTAATTAGGGTACTCCTAAGGCTTAGGAAAAGCCACACTCAAGGGGCAAAGAGCCGCATGTGGCTCGCGAGCCGCAGTTTGCCGACCATGGCCCTACACTGTCCACTCTATACTGTATATCATATACTGTACACCTTGTACTGTACACTCTGTGCTTTCCATCCTATACTGCACAGCCCTATACGGTACACACACACCAGACTCCAGCCTTCCAGAGCCGGGGTCTCTGCTTCTCCCTAAGCATGTCGGCTCAGCTCAGCTCTCCTCTCTCGAATAACTGTGCTTACGTTAACTTTCGCCAGCACCCTGGAGAGCTGTTTCCTGGTGAACCTGCTTTTATGAAAGACTAAGGAGAAGAGGAGCACCAGTTCGGGTCCCCCGCTTCCATTTTAAGCTGCAGGCCTCCTTAAAACTGACTTAGGCTTTATAATGACCTTGGCCTTTACTTTCAACCTTGATATCTTCTTTCATCTATTCTGTTCCTCATTTATGAAATGCGCAAGCAGTGTCCCTTCCTGCCAGTCTTTCCATGTGGGCATGTGAAATTTAAAACTTGGCCCAGCATGTATCACCTGCCTTATTAAGACGGAAACCCCAATGTAGTGAGTGATAAAGTACCCCCTCTATCCACAATACCTCACCCACTTCCCTCCTCACTAAGTTCACCTTGCCTGGAAATAAAGCCAAAAACCAGAACTCACGCCTTAGACCAGCAGCTCTCAACCTGTGGGTTGCGACCCCTTTGTGGGTCGAACGACCCTGAAAGGGTCGTTAAGACCATCGGAAAACACATATATAATTACATATTGTTTTTGTGATTAATCACTATGCTTTAATTATGTTCAATTTGTAACCATGAAATTGGGGGTCACCACAACATGAGGAACTGTATTAAAGGGTCGCGGCACTAGGAAGGTTGAGAACCACTGCCATAGACATACACTCTGCCATCAGTAATGAACGGCTTCTGCCATTGGCCCAGTCAGGGCTCCCTCTTCTTACATTAGTGGTAGAATTTTTGAGAGAGATGGGGAATTACCATTTCATTAAGTTTTGAACATGTATTGTACACTTGTGCATAAAATTTTCTATTAAAAATCTCATATGTATTGTGATGGCCTTATCTCACATCTCATTTTATTACTGCCTTTCTCCTGTTATTGATTATAGTTGCCTGTTTGTCTATTTTATTGCTTTTTAAAGGATGAATTTTGTTACACTGATTATTTTTAATTAAAACAGTCCTCCTCTTGTTTGAGGGGTTCCTCTTCTGTTTGTTAGTGTTTGCAGCTGCAGCGGATTTGAACAATCATCACCAGATCTTTCCAACTGGAACTTTCTCATTCAAGAGGAGTTCCTCCTCTGCTTGGGAGAGATGGGAAAATGTCCCATGAGTTAATCTGCCATTTCACTGGGGTAATTTTCTACCTTGGTTAATCGGCGCTGCCACCTAACCTTCTGGGTCGTTTAATACTTCGTCTGTTTTCCCTCCTGGTTTTATGTAATAGATACAATGCCTTCTAAATTCTTTTTCTTGTCCCCAATTTCCACCCCCCCCTCCCCCGCCAAATACTTAGCATTGTCTATGCCCAGAAAGGGGCAGTTTAAAACAAACAAATAAAAAATCCTTAGTCATCTGAAAGGGAATAGCCTGAGGCTAAAACAGTAGCCAGGTAGGGTGATCACTCCTGAGGGCTCCCCAGAGGCCTGGATAAGGGCAGATATTCCCACCAACCGTGGGCTTACAGACCCCATCTCCACGTGTGGGCTGTGCCGTGGATCCCCCATTCAGATCCAGGGCCGTGGGCTCTGCGCTGAGAGAGACAACAGAATCCATCCCCCAGGCAACACACAAGCTCAAGCCCGCATAGAGAGTGAGGACTTTTGGGGGGGTCCAAGAACTTATTTTGATTATTTGAATTTGGATTCCTATACAAAAATCTCTGAACTGGTAATTTTTTTTCTTTTCTTCCAGTTTTTTTAAAGTATAATTGACAAATTAAAATCTATATATAAAAGCCTAAGCAACCAGCCGACCAGCCAGTAGCTATGATGCACACAGACCACGAGGGGCAGACACTCAATGTAGGAGCTGCCAAGCTGTGGTCACCTGGCAGCAGTGGATCTCAGGTGACACACCCGGAACCAGAGTGGAGGGGGCCCGATTCCAGGGGGCATCACCTGAGAACTGCACAATCTGGGACCCCTCAGAGAATGTCGGAGAGCCGGTTTCTGCCCGATCCCCGCAGGCCAGGCCGAGGGACCCCCACCGGTGCACGAATCCATGCACTGGGTCTCTAGTTGTATATATTTAAAATGTACAATATGATCATATGAGAATAGATTTTTACATTATTTTTTCTAGATATTGAATGTGCTCTTTGTAAACATTGCTTTTTGGTATAATAAATTTGCAGGGAGGGGTTCTTGCTACTCAGTCGTTTCACAAAAGTGGATCTCCATAAAATTGATAATAATAACACTGAAGCATAGACCTCCTCGATGATGGAAACGTATGCCGGGGCTGCCAGTGTGGTAGCCACCAGCCACGTGTGGTTGCCAGGCACCTGAAATGTGGCTGGTGCAATTGAACTGAATTGATATGTGTATCGGATGTTAATGAATTTAAATGTAAACACCCGCATGGTTATAAACAAAATGCAATGCCTGTTTTGCATGTTCTCACTCTTTTCTTGGAAAGGGCTGACCCTCTCTCATGAAGGCCCCTTGTCTTCACAGACACGCATGCCCTGGTAAGCCTTCTTCAAAACCTGAACAAAGCCAACTACCAGCTGCCCATCATGGTGACAGATTCAGGGAAACCACCCATGACGAACGTCACAGACCTCAGGGTACAAGTGTGTTCCTGCAAGAATTCCAAAGTGGACTGCAACGCCGCGGGGGCCCTGCACTTCAGCCTGACCTCAGTCCTGCTCATCTCCCTCTTCAGTTTAGTTTGTAAGTTGGCCTAACTCCAGTGCGTGCATAATTATGAAAACGTAATCAAAGCCTTCTTCCCACGTATCTTCAAAAAAATTTATCCCAGAGGAAACATTTGTTTTAGTTTATGTCTGTATAATAGAGGGTGTGCCATGTAAAAGTGCTCCAAGTAATGTTGAAAGGCATCTTACCATCCCCCTTGCTATGCTCCAGGCCAGGAGGTGATACTGCCTGTAGATGCCCCTGAACTTGAGCTAATGCGAATGTGCCTGGATTAGTTAACTGGTCCGCCAGGGCCCTATTTCTCCCTGCATTACGCTGAATAATCTCTCTCAAGGTTGAAGTAGATACTACACCTTTTTAAGAACAAGCATGAGAATTCATGGATGGCAGTGGGGTCGTAGGAAAAGAGATAAATGTATAATTCACACACTGTTTTCACAGCCTGGTAGTAATGGCTATAATGTAATGGAGCATTATTTTAAACAAATAAATTATTATACCTAGTAATATAGATGTGAGCATAAAACGAATAGCTATGTGTGTCAGACATTTCCTACTTATAGGCTACTAGTCCACTTTTAATTAGCAATTATTTACATATAGCTAATGCCATTGAAAAGACTTTTGGCCCTCGGTATTTACATTTTGACAAGGTTATTGATGTAATTGTAAATTTGGAAGTTGAGAAATTGATGATTAGAAAAAAAAATAACAGAAGTTACTATATCCTGGTGACCGTGGCAAGTAGGGTCCACAGGCAACACACATTCCAACGCCGGAAGTTACTGTGTGTAAAGCTCTGTGCTGCGCCAGCATCCTATGGGTAGAGATAAGGAGGAGAAGACTTTATAATGAGAAGTGTCTCATTGGATAGTTGAGACATTTCTTCAAGAAACGAAATGTTGCAGGTAAAGATGTGCCTCTCTCCAGTTTTACTTATCATTCTCTCTCCCAAGAGACAGTAGCTTTTATGAGTTAGAATGTGTCCTGACATGTTTTATACTTTTACTGCACACACACACACACACACACACACACTAGGTATAGTTCTATTTTGTGCCGTTTGGAAAACTTTATGTAATTTGTAGTATATTGAGCATGATGTTCTGCATCTTGCTTTTCTTCCTCTTCCCATTACATTTCCAAGATTCATCTATGTTGTTCTAGTTCAGGGGTCAGCAAACATTTTCTATAAAGGGCCAGGCAGCAAATATTTTGGGTCCTATGGGCCATATCAGGTCTCCATCACATATTCTTTTTTATTGTGGGTGTGGATTCTTTTGACTTTGTTCTTTTGTTCTTTACCACTCTTTAAAAGTGTGAAAAACATTCTTAGGTTGAGAGCCACACAAGCACACAATAGTCCACCAACCATAATTCACCCTGTTCATTCATTTTAACTGCTAGAAAGTAACCTGTCACATGACTATGACACAGCCGCATTAGGGTTATTTACAGGGTCCTGCTCTGACCAGCTCTTGCAGTAAACATCCGGAATCTGTTTTCCAGGAGCTTCTGACATGAGTTCTAGTCAGACTGCAAGCCCAGGCCTGGGTTACAGGAGACATTGGGGTTCACATACAGCAGAGTCTGGATAGAGAAATAAAAATGCTGTGTGCACATGTGTCCAAGTTTCTGTGTGTGCTTGTGCACATATGCTGTGCGTGCACACGTTTCATGTGTTATGTGTGTGCACAATCAGGTGTGTACCTAGAGAGAAGATGATGAGTAGCCATTCACTCATCACTGTCTATAACAGTGATGGCGAAACTTTTGGGCTCGGCGTGTCAGCATTTTGTGACTCTGGTGCCGTGTCACATATAGAAATTTTTTGATATTTGCAACCATAGTAAAACAAAGACTTATATTTTTGATATTTATTTTATATATTTAAATGCCATTTAACAAAGAAAAATCAACCAAAAAATGAGTTTGCTTGTCACCTCTGACACGCGTGTCATAGGTTCGCCATCACTGTCTATAACCTAATTACACAACATAAAGCCTCATTCTTGATGACACCCCTTTGAGGAACCAAGGCTCTGCAGGAACCGCTCACTTATCAGCTACCCCAGCTGCAGTGGGTGTTTTAAATGGGGACTTCCTCCCTCTGTTTGTTGAGATACAGATTCCCAGGCCCATCCAACCTGTGGAGCCAACATCCCAAATGTACAGTGGCCTCCACACCACAGACCCAGTGTTAAGATATTTCACACATATTTTTATAATAACATACACATCTGCTACTACCAATCCATGCATTAACTATTAGTAAAACAATCTATTTGTTTAGAATGAAAGGAATATAAAAGACATGACAGATTTTCCTCTTACCGATAAGGGGTTTCCTTGTGCCCCCCTACTTTGGAGACCACTGGCCTGTAGGTATCAGAAATGAATGAGTAGGTCCCCAAAGGTTGCCACTGCTCCTCTCTCTGAACTCTTACATCGTAGTTAATCCGAGGTGGAATTGTGCAGTAACTCCCAAAGCCCTCATGTTCATTGTACACTCAAAATAGTATCGGTGAGAAAAGACAGGTACGTGTGTGCTGTGTTTGAGAGGTCCAATGTGCTTTTCTGTTCTCATTTAAATGGAGAGCCATCCTACCTGACAGCACATGGTTATCTCACTGTAGGGAAGGGCACCTGTAGGTAAAGCCAAAATCATCCTCTAAAAGGAGAGCTGAGTCTCCTTGCACAGCTGGAAAGGTACTCAGCTGACCTTCCAATGTTTTGCACCACAAGCAAAAAATTTTCAGCTTAAAAAAAAACCCAACAGTTAAGAACAAGTGTTACCCACTTACCTGTTTGACTTCCAAAAAAACCTCAGTCAGGCCCTGTATAAAAGGCATAAGAATGCTTAATATTGTTCATTTGCACATTAGAGACACCTGCCAAATATGATAATCCTTGTTTTATTGTATTCCTGGCCCAAGATGTTCTTCCTGACAAAAAAGAGAGGTACAGAATAAGACAGGAGAGACTGGGTTAGAGCCTGCATGAATAAGTAACCATGGGTGTCCTATGGCCCCCACACTCTCTGATAAGAGCAGAAGTTAGTGGTCATCCCACCTGTGCCACTGTTAACATGACATTGACAAGAGGCTACACAGAAATGGGCCTAAACCATTAAACAAAGTGGGCAGGGGGTTCTGAAAGTACTGAAACTAGATTACAATGTGCAAGGATGAGATGCCTTCCTAACTCAGCCATAGTACTTTTGATCTGGTAGAATCTGTTTGCTGTGTCTTTAAATCAGGAGTTGGCCCACTTCTTGTTTTTGTAAATAAAGTTTTATTGGAACACAGCGATACTCATTCATTTCCATATTGTTTGTGGCTGCTTTCTGCTACAATGGCAGAGTTGAATGGTTGCCACAGAGACCATATGACCCACAAAGCTGGAAATATTTGGCCCTTTGCAGAGAAAATGTGCCAACATCTTTTAAGTGTTGTTCATACAATTGCATTGATCACATCATACAATATGGGAAGAAAAATGGGTTTTCTCCTCCCCTTAAGTAATATTCAGATCCAAATAGACTAGCATTAACCAAACACCCTGATGTCCTATGGCTTTTCTCTCTATTTACTTCATTGGCTTTGTGAATTTATCACACTTTATAGATGAGAAAACTCAGAAAGGTCCCAAGGTCCCATGTGAGTAAGCAGTGAGACCAGCGTTCACCACTAGAATGCCTCCCTCGTGGAAAAAGATAATAAAAACATTTCTGTTTATTATGATACTGTAGATGGCTATATTGCAGCTGAGAATTGAACTGAGAGATCTGCACTTCTCTTTTTGACATTCAAAAATTCAGGAAATAAAACTAATGACATTGAAAGTCATAAAAAATGTAAATGAAATTATTTTTACTGCCAATTTTGTTGTTTAAATTGCGTGTTGATGACTGTGAGGGAATGCATAGTTCTCCCCTAGGACCCTCCCAAGGTCCTCGGCAAGCTGGCGTCTCCGTTAGGCTGTGTCTGTGGGTTATGTAGGGCTCTGTGTGGTCTGCACAGTCGACTTCAAGGAAGAAAATTGTCCTAAAAACCTTTTAAACATTGCCTTAGGCTTAACTAACTAGCAGTAGTGAGCATATAAAAGTACAGATGAGATGAACTGTATTAACAAGGACCATAATTAAATGTGTGTACCTGGGAAGGAGGAGGCACTGAATTATAACCTTAATCTAAGCCAAAAATAAATAAATATATACTTTTAATTCTAATGCTTTTTATTTTCATTTTTTAAAATACATTTTTATTGATTTCAGAGAGGAAGGGAGAGGGTGAGATAGATACATCAATGATGAGAGAGAATCACTGATCGGCTGCCTCCTGCATGCCTCCTACTGGGGATCGAGCCCGCAAACCCGGGCATGTGCCCTGACTGGGAATTGAACCGTGACCTCCTGGTTCATGGGTTGATGCTTAACCACTGAACCACACCAGCCGGGCTCTAATTATTCACCCTTTTAAGTGTACCGTTTGATGAATTTTAGTAACTACGCAATTGTACACACCACAGTCAAAAAAGTTTCCTGTATCCCTTTGCTATCGATCCCCTCCCCTAGTCCAGACCCTCATTGATCTGCCTTCTCTAATTATAGTCTCATCTTTTCTATAGTTTTCTATAAATGGAATCACACAATCCATGTTGTTGAGAGTATCACTATTTTGTTCTTCTTTATTGTGAATGTGCTATGAGCAGAGACGGGGTCTGGAGAAGCATCAGGCCCAGCAGAGCAGGCCGTCCTGGCTTGGAGAGGCCCTGAGGCATGCTTTGTGGAGAAGCTGTGGTCCCTTAAAGTGGTACAACTTCATGGGCTTTGTGTGTGCAAAGCTAAGAGCTTTACATAAATTATACAGGTGATCTCATCCAATCAACCTAATAGTCTAAATTGACTTAAAATGGATTGGCCACTTTCTAATTCAGTGGGTGTTACTAACCAATTTTTTTTCTGTTTTTCTCAGTGAATAAAATTATTATTTTAACTTCTTGAAAAACACAAT